AAAAAAAAAAAAAAGAAGAGACAATCTAGAGGGCATGAAGAAGAAAAGTGACTGGAACACATGGCTCTAAAAACCGGGCTGAGAGGAGAACAGAGGAAGGGATGCAGAGGAGTGAGAAAGAAGGACCTTATCACGACCTTATCACAGTACTGCTACAGCAGCTACTGTTAGTCCAACTACACACTTCACAGATCACAAATCCAATGAAAGTAATGAAGGAACCCGGTGTCCCCATTCTATGCCCATGCTATCCCCGGTGAATGGGGAACCCAGTGCTTGGCGGGTTGGGGCTCTGGAGGACGTCAGGAGTCATAGACAAGGAAAGAGGTCTCCCAGGTATGCAGCATATCTACGCAAATATAAAGCTGGGTTATAGGAAGTACTTTCATCACTCTAAAACTCTAACACCGAATAATCAGGCTTACAAATTAAACACGAGCAAACCTGCAAATCCAAAACCAGTCACATACAATGTGCTATTTTGCTGATGATGTGTGTTGATCCTTCTGTTTGTTGCCTCCTGGCGCTAAGCACCGGTGGGGCTCTAGCTTTCAGCGTGCCCACAGGACCACAGGTAGGCAGAAAGAGGCTCCTCCTGGGCCCACATCTCTCTGCTTGGACCCAATGCAGTGTTTCTCCATGATCAGCTGGCAAAGTGTCATTTACATGTTAATATCGCTTCCTATTTGTTCATTAACCAAGGCTAAACAAAATCCCATTTCTTGTCACCTGTGATTATAAACACAACAGCAAATTCACACAGAGACACACACACACTGCCATTGAGTTGGATCCGACTCATAACGACCCCTCCCTGGGTTTCCGAGGCAGTATCACTACAGAAGTAGATTGCCCAACCTTCCTTCCAAAGAGTGGCTGGTGGGTTTGAACCACCAGTCTTCTGGTTAGCAGTCAAGTGCCTTAGGCACTATGCCACACAGCCAATGCAGGCAGTAAGAGTAAGTGGGAGCGTTCAGTAGTACGAGGGTCATCCCACACACTGACGTCTGCATGAAGGAAATGACACCAGGCTTGGGACTTGTTATAGAATACTTTGCAAAAATGAGACTGGAAAATGTGATCAATATTGAAGCTAGGTTACAGCTACATGGCGGTTTGTTATACTGTTGTCTATACTTATGTGTGAGTTCACAATGTTCCGTGACAAACTTGTGTGGTTTTGTTTTTTAGTCGGTGGTTCACACAGACCAAAATGTGCCTGAGCCAATTTTTGATAGTATTGATGAAATGAAAAGAAAAATTTTTGTATGTGCAATCAACAAGGATAGCTTTTACAACCAGCAACCCAATCACATAAATTAAAAAAAAAAAAATCATCTGGAGGAATAACTATTCAACTTCAGTTGTTTTTTCTATTAAAGTATATCACAAACATCATTTTGAGTGGCACGGACTTTGCTTATTTGTGTTATTGTGTGTCATTTTCTTGTCTTCTTCCCCACCGCCATCTTCAGCACAGTCCTGGGCACATGTTAAGAACCCAGCAGGTGGTAGCAATTAATTATTAATAAGTGACTGTGAATTATTAATCAGTAACATCGAAAACTCTTTCCAACTTCTCAAGATTTTATAGTTGAGCGGTTAAATAAAACCAGAAGAGCAGGAGAGGGAAACATTTTCTATATATGAAAGGAGGCTTCTATCACTTTGTCACCAATAGTAAAAAGTTGAAGAATTTTTCTCCACAAGCCTGAATAATACATTCCTAGAACAGAAACAAACGTTCTGAATTCCTTACCCTAAAGCAAAAGCCCAGTACTTCCCCAGCAGGTCAAACCCTCAAGACCTGATGAGCCAGGAATCTCACAAACGGACGCCACTGTCCTCCAGTCAGTGTCCACCTAAACAGACATGCTGCCGACTCACATGCTATGGGAGTGTGAGGGTGTTTACCTTAACCTTTTAAAACCCAGTATAAGGAAGCCTGGTGATGCAACGGTTAAGCACTCAGCTGCTAACCGAAAGGGCTGGCAGTCTGAACCCAGCCAGCAGTACCACAGGACAAGGACTCGACTATCTGCTGCTGTAAACGTTTCAGCCCAGAAAACCCCATGGGGCGGTTCTACTGTATCACATGGAACCACCGTGAGCTGACATCAACCTGACAGCGCCTGGTAACAGCAACAAACACTGCTATTGGCTTTATTCTCTTTCATAATACGCTTCTTAAAGCCATCAACTATGCCATCCTATGTTAAGTTCCAGGTTTCTTTTCCACATCCTACGTTAGTCTCTGTGGTGGTTATGTTTGTGTGTCAACGTGGCCGGGCCTGGTTGAGTGGCTGGGCAGCTGGTGGTAGTTGTTCCCCATGATGAGACTGGCAATCAACTTCATGGTGAGATCTACCACAAGCAGCTGAGTAGCTGCCTTTGGGATGTGATTTGCTTCCTGTATATAAGGAGAAGCCTTGGGAATGGTCTCTAGCCTATGGCACGCTTGGACCCTGCATGTAGCCATGTCGTTGCTCAGCAGCCTGCCTTGCTCTGTCGACCTTGGAACTTAAAATGGACTTAAGTTAATGGCCTGCCATGTGATTTGGTAACACTGGGACTGTGCCTTTTTACTTGTCAACCTTGGGGCTTCTCGGCCTCAGCAGCCAGAAGCTGCCTGAGTGAAGAAACGCCTCTAGCTCCAGTGGGCCGGGAGCAGGAGGCAGAGCTGGACCCCAAGGCTGAGGGGCTTTCACCCAGCCCCTAGAGTCTGGCACTTGAACTTGCACTTAAAGCCTCCAAATTGTAAGAATAAACTCCTGTTTGTTAAGGCCATTCCTATTTGTGGTATATTTCTGTCAGAGCGGCACCAGGTAACCAGAACAGTCTCTTTTAGGAAATGCTTCCTCACTCTAATAAATCAGATGTGATGAACAAGTCCATGTTCACACTAACGTGACTCTTCTCAGTACCATGATGTCTGGCATCCATGTTCACCATAACATCGCCCTTCTCGATGCCAGGAAGTCAGCTATGCCCTCTTTTGCTCATTCTGGAAAGAAGCGACACCTCAGGACTTTCCTCAGAGTAAAGTACCCACCAACCCCCAACACACCCAACCTCGATCCCAGGCACAGCTGTATCTCTAAATAGTCAAGGGTAGAAATACAAATTCTATTTTCCAAAAAGGTAATCTGAACAGTTAAATGGAGATCTTTCTGCAAGGAAACCAGAAAAACCTGAACAATGCATTTCTAGAGCAGAAACAAAGGTTCTGAATTCCTTAAGTGAAGACACAGATGACTGTTCCTATTAACTGCTCTTCACCCTCACTCCAGGGCTCTCTGCTCTCGGTGGGCATTCGCATTCACACGGAAAACCTCCCTGACTATTACAAATAAAGTCACAGGTCTGGAATCTCGAGGAGTGGGCTTGGATTTAATGGGAGTTCCCAAACTTGATAACTAGGCATTATCAGCTAAGATTTTCAATGTTCAACAAACTTCGCGCTACAAATCAAAAGCATTTTTTAAGGAGCTGAAGCTCAGCATAAGACAGAGATGCAGGTCATCAGTCACTGCAGTCCCCATCAGAGAACCACCACTGACAACCGTGCTTTATTTCTACCTCTGGGACCACATGCAAAGCCCCAGCCAAATGAGGGCGCCAAACCCCCTCAACAGACACAGCTCTTCACTACGAAACAAGCACCCTGCCCCCAGAAGTGTTTTAGACAAGACACTAACAGTCACAAGATGGAAATAAAGACTACCATCATGAATTTCAATTTCATCCTACTTTTTCTGCTTGGAATTCAGACTACCATTTAGCCATTTTCCTCTTGTCTTGAGCAGTGACAAAGCGACAAGCTGTGAGCCACACAACACTCACCTCGAGATACAGGCTAGA